ATAGTTAGCTCACATCAATATGGGTCTCACAAAGTACAAAGCAAACAACATTCAGGCAGTAACACTCTATAGGCCACAAAATATAAGAATGCATCCTCCAACTAACTTGCTTCTGCGATGCTAGGAACTTGTACCAACATTGCTGGTTGCCTTATGCATGCAAATTATATACAAAACGGGATCACATAGACCGTCGAATGATTCTACTTTCAGCCCACAACCAGATAAGGAACAGGAAATAAGGCCAAATAAGTCATTCTAGAACTATATGATCCTAATCGTATACAATTTTTAAAGCATACACTTAGCAATCAATTCCACCAACATAGATTCCAAATCTAACATAGCATCCAATTCCTCCTAGGCTACAAGGCGTCACAAATCAGGCCATTCTATCCAACATCTGAAATTCATACTAGCATACAATTCCAAAGCTCAATCAACAAGCATATAAAGACATCTCTCCTAGTATTCTATCATGCAAATCATGAGCAGATCCTTATCCCTGATTTAGCATGTAGTTCTCATAAACTCATACCAAAACAATAAACATAACGCATGTATGGGTATTTTGGTAAATACTTACTTGAGCTCGGTTGATTGCATGCATCAAACCCTTTTTTCTTAAAAAACTTTTTGGAAAACTCATTTTCTTTTAAAAGATTTTATTAACTCCTTAGTTTGAGTTCAGAAACACACGAGAGTGTTCCCGGATCTCTCAAACCAAGTCTCTGATACCAAATTGTATCGTCCCAAAATACCGAGTAAAAATTTCATTTTAAATAAGTTAAAGCCATTCATTAATTGTTCCAAAAGACGGGCAAAGTCAAGTATTCTCAAAACATCAGAGTAACTTGTAAACATTCACTGCGGTATAAAACTCCAGGGGATGCAGTGCGATCAAGCCGGGCCTTCCTTTTGGAAATAGAAATACCTGAAACCATAAACATAAACTATAAGAACAATGCTTAGTGAGTTCCACAAAGTACCACATACAATACATATCATTGGGCCTAGCCCTGTGGTATATTCCAACCCAACATACAATCATGGGCCCAACCCTGGGGTTTCTTTCAACCGAATCATACATACTGGGGCCTAGCCCTGAGGTTTGTTTCAACCCAATAATACATACATGGGCCCAACCCTGGGGTTTATTTCAACCTGATCATGCAATAATGGGCATGTTAGAAAATAGGGGAAAACACTTGGAAATTCTGAGAATCGTGTATAACACTTTCAGATTAAAGTATTTGGGTGGTACTCCCAATCTTTAATCAGATAAGACTCAGAAATTAAACAAATGTACACTCCGCACCATACCGTTTTGTTCAATATTTGTCAAAGTGACATTAATCAACAAATTGACCTCATTACAGTTAAATAATATTAGTGATATAAAATCACCAACAGAGACCAACTGTGGGGCCCAACACTGGGGTATATTTCAACCCAGTCATACAAACATGAAAGAGTCACAAAGACATCTAGCATCCTATATACACAATCCAGTGGGCTGGAATTGGTGCCTTCGACCCACAAGAACAGTAAGAAGACTCACCTCACAGTTTGAAAGAATAAGTGCACCGATCACTGCTCCAAAAGCTATCTCTACCGGTCACCTATACCATTAACAGGGACCCAAATCTCAAACTACTATTCAAATTACCTAAAATGCCCTTAGGTCAAACTTGGTCAAATTCCTTGTCAAAGTCAAAAAGTCAAATTGACTGAGTACGCCCTGCGTACCCAGTCAATACGTTGGGCGTGGTCGTGACTCACCCAAACCATGGGGTTCTAACCCAGTACATGCATCATACCTCTTGGTACGCCCAACATACTCTACCTGGGTCCAAATCTTCCATTAAGCGCTTATTCCTTAAATACCTTTCATCAAAATTCAGATCTAGACCCAAAACATCGTTCTAAGTCATAAAGTTTCCACCTTTATGACTTTCCATGGCTAAAAAATGTCCAAAAGCTAAAACCCCAACTTAATAATTCATTAAGACATCATAACTCTTGCATGGAGGGGATAGAAGGATCAATATCACATTTTATGGTTCCTAATAGCTCCATAATGGATAAAGTTTCCAACTTTACCCATTAGGATGGTCCAAATAACCAAGATCTAGTCTTTAAGTCTCAAAGGGACCAAAAATGCATCTTTCTCAACTTAATCCATTAAGTACAAGGTCATAAACTTTCAAGATCTAAAATTTATGCACTAAAGTGACCAAAAAGTGACAAATATGAAAATTAACAAGATTTATGAAACTACTGAGCAAGTTTGAAGTTTTTTACTCACAAAGGTCCAAAAATGATGTAATCTTGCTAGATCTATGCTTGAATCCTTCTTCCATACACTTTGCCACCACCTTATTCTTCAAAATCCCACCTTCTAATGGAGAATTAATCTCATAAATGATGTCAAGACTCAAAATAAGTGAGAGGAAGATAGGGTTTCAAGTTAGAGGCTCAAGAGTGTGGAGGTTGATGATAGGAAGGACCCCCAAGGGGTTAGAGACCTTAAATAGGACTCAAAACTATGAAATTAGGGTTCTTACTCTATGGTGGTACGCCCAACGTACCACAAGTTACGCCCAACGTAACGATCTAAAAATGCGACTTCCTCAGCCCAGTATACCCAACGTACTACCAGACTCTCTTCTTCCAACTTAACTTCAAACAACCATAACTTCTTCGTTCCAACTCCGTTTTTGACGATCTTTATATCCACCGAAAGGTGTCGACGATATCTATAACTATATCTAGTTACTTATGACTAAAAACATCTCGAACTAAAATCCTTAATTTATGCAAGAATCCCGAAACATCATTTTTCTCATTGTACCCTTTGACTCCAAAACACAAACTAAGAGTTTGGATTATATAACCAATATTATCCACATCCAAAAGAGTCTAAAATCCATTCCCTTGTAACCTAAGGCCTTACATGGTCGAATTACGGTCCACAAACCCTGAATTAAGAAACGTCCCGAAACAGGATGTTACAACTATTTTGGTAATTTGATTAGAGGACTCTTTTAAGCTTGTTGAGGCGAAAAGATTGCATGCATCAACTCTCTTTGATCCTTGAAAGAGAGCCCTAACCTATTTGGTTTTATTTTGATCTACGAGTAGTGTTTGGGGCTTACATGTTACGAAAGCTTGGATTTGTATCCATTAGACACCTCCCAAGATGACATCTGGAAAGTTATTGCGCCTGAATTAACGGATTAAACACTTAATATGAGTGGTTGTTCTGACCATGAAGCGTGACGCGACCAACCCTTGGTCGCGACCTGAAGCGAGGCATGGTTCGCGATTGTTTTGGATTTTAGTGGTCACAACACAACCAAAGGTTGATCGCGACGTGTGGACACATTGGCTATTAACTTTTGACCAGTTTGACTTTTGGTCAAATTTTGATAGACATGGAGTTTTTTACTGAGTTTTGACCTCTCATTGGTTATGATTAATAAGATGCGTCTAATGATGAATTTAAGTGGTTCATGCTAGTTGATTCGTTTGAGGAGTCTTGTATGCGAGGCTTAGATTTCTAGCTCTATGTGAGTTTTCTTACTATAATGTGTGTGACATTATATGTCCTTTGATTAGTAAAATATATGTGTACTGCTGGTGTACGATTGTGTGATTAGACTAGAGTATTATTTTTTTATGATCATTGAAAGGTCGTATGATGAGATTATATGCGACCATATGAGATGATGGCTGGGAGCCTACATGCCTAACATAAGGATGATTGGGAAGCTAAAGGTCCTATGGGATGATGGATGAGAGCTTACATGTCTAATAGGAGGATGGCTGGGGGCCTATAATTGTATGCATTGTATATATGATGGAATATATGGTATATTGGGGAACTCACTAAGCTTTATGTTGACTCTTTATATTTAAATGTTTTAGGTTGTTCCGGTGAGAATGAGAAGAGTGTAAGCGTGATTGTACTTGCATCTATGTTTTGTTTTTGTTTTGAGACATTCGCTAAACTTTATATTTTGTTTTACGATGTTTGAATCAAATGAAGATTTATGTTTCTTTTAAAAGATGGTTTTTAGTTATTTAAATCATATTTAAAAAAAATTATATTTTGTTGAAAATTTAGGACAAGGAAACACAATGGCTTAGAAGTAGCTTGTTGGATATAGAGTTGAAGCCACAACAAATACCAACCAACAATGAGTCAACTTTTTCTAGGGAATATAATAATATTTATAATAGTAAACATAGGCATATCTGTGGACATGACTAGTATTGATATCGACTTTTGACCCAATTCGGTATTTAAGAATCTCAGGTCGGTACCGGTTCCGTCCGGTGCTCATCCATACTAGTCATTAAACGACTAGTAGAGATAGTTGAGATAGATGGTGAACCGGGCCATCCCTCGTCTTGTTGAACCTACACAACAGTGAAATCATGATATTGTCGGTGCCGACCCTCTTTATCGTCATTTAATGCACGAGTTCATACACCCTTAAATCAAATGTGAGTGAAAATAGATTTGTTTTTTGTGCACAAACCGCACATTATTTTCCCTTAGGAGAATGTGTTGACAATGCCAATGAAAATACTTCAATTTTTTTATGCATTTTGTTTCTTTCATAAAGTTTAATCAAACAAAATAAATTATTATATTCGTAGAAACCATATTTTAATTTCCATCTTTTATCAGTAACAAAGTCAAAAGGAAAATAAAGTGTATCTACTAATTTGTGGTTTTTAGATGAGAATAAATAGGAAATAAGTGATATATTATATATGAAGTTAGAAAATATTATATTTACTGAACACCTCAAATTCAAATTGGCCCATTAGCTCAGTTGGTTAGAGCGTCGTGCTAATAACGCGAAGGTCGCAGGTTCGAAACCTGCATGGGCCATCTATTTTTTTTTTTTTTTTTTTTTTCAGTTTTGAAATATAATATAATAATATAAATAAACCATTCGGAAACATCCGCCAAATTTATCGTTTAAATGTGTGACAGTGAAGTCGTCTCCCAGCAAATTTCTCTCTTTCGCTCCCTGATACAAACCAGAAGGTAATTTCCCTCTACAAACCCTTGAAATTACTCGGAATAACACTTTTTTTAATTACATAATCAAACGATTTCGGATCAAAATCCATTGAGTTGGTCAGATTTGACGACGGAACTCTACGCATTCTGGAGTCGGTTTTGATCAGCAGAGACGTGAAGTTGATGCTAGATGTTCGGCGGATCCTGAGAGACTTCATGAGACATGAATCTCTATGTGTTCTTAGCGAATTTAAGGAGAAATCTGTTGATCACAATCTTCTGATCATAGATTTTTTCGTTCACGCTTTCACATTTATCGGCGATCTAGAGGCAGGTCCTTTAAATATTATGTCCTTTCGTTGATTTCATATGTTTTCCGTAGATTTTCTCAAGTTCATTTGTGTGCATTGGTACAATTTTGTAGATAGGGTTTTGCAAGGGAGGTATTAGTATATTGTAATGATGTGTGCCTGTTTGTATGTAACTATGTGATCACATTGGATTTTCACAAGATATGACTAATTATTAATTTGATGGAAATCGCATGTTTGATATTCGTTGATGATCTTAAATTGTTGGTGGATCAGATTGGCATTTAATGCGTGGTAAACTGATCACTAGGTTGAAGCATCATATGTTAGGCATCATGATATTTCATTGGCATTATTAAACAGGTTATACTTATACAGATCATGTTCAAAGAAAACATAACTGAATTGCTTTATTAGTGACTTCTCTGGCGTTTGGTTTGTCATATAGTTAGTCTATAAAGATCAAGATAGGAACTACTACAAGATCAATTTGTATGTTAAATGAGATTAAGTCTAGATCAATTTGATATTTCATTGACATTCATACTGCACTTGCATTCTATACATCGAATATATACACATGGCAGCTTTTGATTTTGTTATGTATTTCTGCTTAATATATGTGTCAACTTGATTATTTACAGAGTTGCTTGTCTCTGAGATATGAGGCACTGATTCTACGAGAACTGAAGTCAGCTACAGATCATCAGCTACATGTTTCATATGGTGAATGGTTCACTTTTGCTGAGCATGCCTTTGAGAACCGGTTTTATGCCATTGCTAGAAAGGTGTCAAGTTCTTCCATTTACTGATTTTGCTGAGCATAGCTTAAGAAAAAATAGAACTTCTAAAACATAGATTTAAGTTAACATAGATAAATGGAACTTGTCAATAGTGAAATCTTTCTTTTCATACATACCCTGTTCCTATTTGGAACAGATGATAATTTAAATTTTATTTCATTCTGTAGGCATGTGAGAAAGCACTTGCTTGCTTTCAAACAAATGAAGTGCTTAAAACAAAAGAGACAGATGCATTATCTGACATGGAAGCAATTATAAAAGTCAAGCGATTGAAGGACCTTGCTATGATCAGAGCTGCTTCACAATCTGGTATGCCTTATTCTCCCCTTATTACACTTAGTTGTATTTGAGTGGATATCATGGTTGAAATTTTTACTAGGGAGATTATATTTGATGCTAATTTCTGATCAATATAATCTGTTCTGTGAGAAATCAGTTCAGGCACAAGGAGTAGAGTACTTGAAAAGGAAAACAGCTGAATGTGACAACATTTCCATGCCTGTAATCAAAGAAAAGCGGCATTCAGCCAGCATTCTGTTCAGGAATGGAATTAAGAAGCATAACACACGAAAACTGCAACAACTTCGAAGACTATAGCAGATTATCATCAGACTACATGACATGACACTAAGGTCCATGTGCTTGCCCTTTTACCTTGTTAATATAGCATATACGATATATGGCATGATGAGTGATGACCCTTTCTTCTATTGCTGTCATTCTCTCTATAAACGTGCATTTGTATGATTGTATATCAAAACGATTAAATAAATAACATACTGGATGTCATAGCATAATAAAACATTGCATTGGTGGGCCTAAGTATCTTGTCCTTTTCTTATTACTATTGGTTAATGATAAGATGTCTGGGATTAGGTGGGCCTATGTATCTTTGGCCCAACTTTGATCTATTAGGAATTTAGGATACCTAAATTGCCTGAGCAGGTACTTATTATGGACCATGTTCATCCAAGAAAAACCATCATAAAATCTGGTATTTTGGCTCAGATAATAAAATTATTTTTCTCAGTTATTTATAAATTAGTTCAGTTTATGTGATTAATAACATTAGTCTGTTGGATTTTGTTTCTTTAGAGCAAGTTACAGCTTTTAATTTCCGTAGATATTTTAACTTGACATTTAGCAAAATATTGAGGTTTAACTATATTGTTTTGAATAATATTTATAAGTGTTAAGAGTGGTTGGTTAGGAGTGATGCATTAAAAGGTTGGATGTGATGTCAACATTTGTTATTTATTGATTAATTAATGATCATCTTTCACCCTCACAAATTTTCTTCAAAATTAATTGTGAATGTAATTTGGTGAGGAGATACTATCCATTTAAACCGCAAATGATTAAGAAATCAGATGGTTTTTCTAAATTGCCGGAGGAGATCAATAAGAATGCAACAAAAATCAGAGTCGTCATAGTTGACTGCAATCATCATTAATCATGTTTTAGAAGACTTCAAGACTAGGACAATACTTATGAGGAACAATAACACCAATGACCATTATCCGGTCTCCACTGTCAACTCCCACTCTCCAGCGTCTCAATCTTTTGTTGTTGATTCTCATGGTGTGTAGCGCAACCACTTGGGTTACTAGGACGCCTCCATATTCACACATCTTCGTTCAAAGTCTTCTATTTGTTGTAATAAAAAGGCTAGGTTCCATTTATGAAACTCCTGATAAATTAGAAAACATTAACGTGTCCCTTTTGTTCATTCGTATTACACCTTTTGGTATCATTTATAGCGATTTATTGTCCTCCGCATGACGAGAAAAAGCAATTACAATATTACCTTGTGTTAACTGAATAACCGATACTTCACACAATTTGTATGGGCATATCCTTTCGAAGCAATGATTGAAGTCTTTGAAAAATTCAAACAGTTTTACACTCTTATTCATACTCAATTCGCATAGGTGTTAAAAGTTTGAGAAACTAAATATCCTCCTACACTTGCTCCTACATATCATCCTATTCTCATCATAAATGATGACATGTGTATTAAAATATTATTAACACAAGTGTATTAAAATATTATTATTTTCATTAAATATTATCATTTAAGATGAGTAGAGGATATGTAGAAAGAAATTGTAGAAGGATATTTAATTTCTCTAAAAGTTTTCAGTATGACCTTGGGAGAAAATTAACGATAGCGATTTCCACTACTTTACCAACACTTTGGTTTTGCGTTTGTTCCTTTGTGAACGCCCCTATGACTACCTTTGCATTTTTGAATGTGTGTATTATTCCAAACTCTCTGCTAAATGACCTCACAAACTCATAACCTCCTTCACTCGATGTCCCCACCATAATTTCATGTTCACTGTTATTAGGATCTTGCGACAGGAAAAGTCATTCTATCACGTGAACCTGCTTCACTCGTAACATCCACTTTGTTTGTGAAAAAATCACCACTGTCCCATTCTCATACCAATATGCAGAATAAACAAATCTTAGACAATCATCTTTTCGGGTCATCAACCTTAGGTTCACAAAAGTGAGTAATATGTAATTAATGACCAGAATAAAAAAGTTTAAAAGAGTTAATATATATGCAGCAACATAATAATAGTATGGTCCATTGGCCATGGAATCACATGCCTATTGCTTCTGCCACTTCTGTCGACTATTATTACAGCATTATTATTATTATTATTTACTTCCCTTCAGAAATGGTTTAGACGACACTTAGCAGTTTTGGAACTTTTTGAATAGAAGCCTGGGCTCTTCTGCATTGGAAATTCCAACCTCCTTCTGTTCCGGCAATTAGAATTCAGGTCAGTCTTAATGCTGAAGATTTATTTTTAGCAATTATTTTTGTTCTTTTTTTCCCCAAAACATTTTTTTAATATGATTCTATCAGTAAGTGACATTATTAAACGAATTTACAACTAACAGAATTAAATTTGCAGATTCAACCTGTATATATACAATAAAATACAATTTTTTTTTTTATTATTATTAACATAGTTGATGGTATATAAGTATATATTATTAGATATAGTTAAGATTTATGTTGATCTTAGAAGTTAGTTATTATAATTTCGATGGGAAGGTGGGAGAGTATGTCTTGTGCTCATGCTGGTCACTTTCACATACCCCACAACCACAACCACAAATTGTCAAAGATTGCCTTCTTGTCTCCATTTGTGTTGCTGAATATAAAACTAGAAAACCCACACACATCCCCACAACCGAATCTTCCAAATCATCAAATTTGCATTCAATGTTTGCATTGGACCTCTCACGTTTTATATTTCTTCAAGACGGGGAAAGATGTCTGTTTTTCTTCATTTTTTATTACATCAATTTAATAAACACACACACACTCTGACTGAGGTTCCTTCATCTTATATAAAATAATATTCAAACAAAAAAGTTTACAAGGTTCTCATTCTATCCCCACTGCACCATCCCTTCTTCCTAGACCCTACCCTTCATCTTCTTCTTCTTCTTCTCTATATCATACATGTTTGTGACCTAATAAGTTAATTAGAACAACACATTACCTTCACTTTATATGCAGTTATCACAATCAAAAATCAAATGATGGTCATTGACCACTATTTGAAATCGTGGCTCTCGTAGTGTTATAATATGTTTTTTATATTATGTAAAATTTATATATTAGAGCATTAATACTATATATAATTAATATCATAATTGTCATCAAGGTTGTAAAAATCGTTCGACGGTCGACTGGTGTTAAGGGATTAATCGGGGACCATAGATTATTAATAAAATATTAAAATTAATCAAATATTAATATATCTTAAGAAAATCAAGTACTTCAAAATTAGAAAATAAGAAAATTTGTAATTTGAAAATACGAAAATATGAACATTTTGGTATAATATTTGAAATTTTAAAAATTTGAAAATTTTGGATTAAAAAAAAGTTGATTTTTTGAATTTTTTTTAAATTTTTTGAATTTTTTCGACTTTTTTTTTTTTTGACATTTTTCGACTTTTGTTGACTTTTGTTGACCGATTAATCCAACCAAACCCGATTAATCCTAAATTTCCGATTAATACCCTAATCTACGATTAATCGCTGATTAATCCCGATTTCTGCAACCATGATTGTTATATAAAAACATAACATAAAGCATATGTAATATTCTATAATAATAATATGGAGTTAGAAAGTGTCAAAGTGTAATACGGAAGGAACTCAAGGAAGTCGGACTCGTCATGGTATAGCTTGTTTTTGCAATTTCGGTCGCAATTTTTTTTTTTTTTTTGCAATTTTGGTGTAAATTTGAGGTTTATGTAATACTTTATCGGTTCATATTTTAAGTAAAATGACTATTTTTGGTCTCGGAGTATAGCTAATTTTTGCAATTCCATTCCAAAAAATAGTCATAGTCATTTTACTTGGAATCATGGATAAAAATGTTACAAACACTTTTTAAATACGGACCGAAATTGTAAAAAAAAGTTTTTGGAACCAAAATTAAAAAATAAGCTAGGCCCAGGGACCAAAAATGTAATTTACTCTAAAATCAATAACTTATGCAGACTACTTTGTTTAGTGCGGTAGTAGTAGGCCGGTTTTAAGCTATTGGCATTAGAAAAGAAAACTAGAAAACTAGAAATTAGGAAGCAAATGGTATTTTGTCGTTATTGTTTTTTATATTTTCGATAAAAAAACATAGACACTTGCATAGTTGCATGGGTGATAGGACAAATTCTATGGAATTAATTTAAAATCCAAAAGTTTACATTATCCGAAGCCAAAGACAACTAGGGCAAGAGAGCTGTTTTTCTTGGAATGAAAGATTAGAAGCTTGGAATCATGTGGAAGTCATTAAATGCAGTTTCTCTAGGTGTTGGTGTTAGTGTTGGAAAGAATCATTTTCAGCTATATATATATAGGGTTCTACGATGATTTCTGAATAGGACTAAAAATTATACAAATGTTTCAGAAGCCTCGTGAGAATCATTAACTACAGTGGTCTCTAAATTATATATATGTGGGGTTGGTGTTGGTGTTGGTGTTGAGGTCAATTTAATCTAAGTGTAGTACGTACCTTAGAATCTTTCTCTTTTAAAAGATCAAATTAATATCTTAAATAATATATATAACACACCAATGAGTTTTCATTTATTAGTTCAAGATGAACATTTTGAAATAGCTAGGTTTTTGTTTTTAAATTGTAAAAGACTTGAGCCAGCCTCATGTCGGATCTTGTTAATTGGTTTGCATTAATTGTTGGTAGGCTGTGGTTTCGAATATATTGGTGTTATTACTAGCTACTAAATTATATATAGACATTTAGAAGGCCATGTTCCTAGGGGTGGTGGGTTAGATTAGATTCCCTTTAGTTTACCTTAGTTTCTGAGGATGTTTGCAACCCAAAGGTGAATATGGTCATGTGACTCTTTAATTGCCATTTGACTCTCTCATAAATAAAATGGTACCCTTGTTAGTTGTGGTTTGACACAACTCAACCTTTTTTTACTTTTAAATTGCAACTATGAGGTTAGGTTATAAATTAATAGGATCAAGTGTACATTTAGAATACATACAATTAGGATATTTAGTGATCTAAAACTAAATTAACAGGAAAATGGTCA